TTTTTACATGAAATACATATTAAAAACGCAATGATTGACCAATTCAAATAGAAATCGACGCGAAAAACAACTTAAATTTATAATCGAATGTTGATAGCATTTTAATAAAACTACCACGTAATTTTTATGGAGCTCCAATTGAAAATCATTACAGTTTCTTGAAGAAAGCGCAAACTTTTTGTATTCAATTTTCTCACATGTGATTATCGATTGCAGTGATAAAACTTTATTTTCTACTAGGATATTATTATTCATTGTGAGATTATATTGAAATCATCACTGTGAATAATGGTTTATTCATATTTTGTCACGAGAGCATCAGTGATGGCAGTCATTACAAAACAGGGTGAGAGGAGTTGAGCTATTACGTTTGATAACATCAGTACAGCTAATTCATTGTATTTTGGTATGAGTTTTAGTCCAGTCTGACTAAATAATTCTCCATAAAGAGATTCGTTTCATTGAATTTTGAAGTTTTAAAAGTTAATTTTGAGCTTTATGTTTTTTCATTAATTTCATATTGGTTGATGGAAAAGATTGATGTTCAGTACTATTAAAAAATCTATAATGAGATTTAACGAAGAAAGCGAAAACAATAATACACATAAACTGTGTTAGTACTTATTTTAGTCATGTCCGACTGAATATTTCTTTAAAAAAGAATTTAATTCTTTATTTCAAATTATAAAAGCAAACGTTTGAGTTTATGTTCATCTTATTTTATAGAAATTAATGAAGATGCTCTGAGTTAAATACGGGTGAATAGTGTGTAAGAATATTGTCGAGGAATAATGGAAACAATAGCCATAAAAATATGACAAAAATATGCATTGCTACATAGGATAAGTCTGTATTAAACCTTATACAGGGATTAGGTACAAGAAAGTGACACGGATTTACACGTGTAGTATAAACGTACTGAGGATACATAAGGTGTGAGGTTGTGTTTGTGCATGTATATAGTGTGACGTCGAGTGTACGTATTGGACTCATCTTGGGAGATTTCCAACACTCCCCCAATGATGATGGGGCCATCATCACGGCTGTTTTGATGTGTGCGAGTATATTTTTCGTTCTCTAGTTCATGATATAATATATATGCGTTGATGTTCAAGTACATGAGACAGTTTTTCTTTTGATCTATTTAATCCAATTTGCAGATTTTCATGTTTCTACTAGCAGAATTTCCTTCGATGTCGTTGATAAGTCTGCGCTTCCTAAACCAAAATAATCGCCTGCATCCCCGCACGGTCGACAAGTACTAATCTCTACTCTCCGAATCTATCGTCTGTCTTTCTTCTTTTGAGATATTCAACATTATAATACTAATAGTAGACGATTGAAAAATCACTTGAGACTTTCCAAGTTAAAAATTACTGTCAGATGGTGATGCTACATCATTCTCTGTATAGTCCTACTCGAGTGCATTGTCCACTCAAGTCGAAGAATTTTCATATTTTTCTCTTGATCATAGTCTTTTATTTCTAGAGAACTAGTGCCAGCGTCGACACTTCCCCCGATGCGTTGAGTTCGATTGTCAATCAGAATATTTATGTCACAGATGTCATAGATGTCTTATCCACGTCCACTACCTGTCCCCAAATTCATAAATAAAACCAATAAGACGTCCTAAAGATATCGTAGAGACATCCCGCGGATATCCTGCCTTCTACTCAAGTGTCCCATACACGTGCGCCAGCTCTCTCCACATTCATAAAATAAAAACAATAAGACATCCTAAAGATATCGTAGACATCCCGCGAACATCCTGCTATTCTAATCCAATGTCCCATACATGTCCAACAGCTGTCTCCAAATTCATCAGGAAAACCAATAAGACGTCCTAAAGATATTGTAGACATCCCGCGGACATCGGGACATTCTAATCGAGTGTCCCATACGCGTCCGCCAGCTGCCCGCGAATTCATAAAGAGAAATAATAAGACGTCCTAAAGATATTGTAAAGACATCCCGCGGACATCCTGCCATAATACACAAGTATCCCATACACGTCCGCCAGCTGTCTCCAAATTCATAAGGAAAACCAAGAAGACGTCCTGAAGATATCGTAGACACATCCCGCGGACATCTGGACATTCTAATCGAGTGTTCCATACACGTCTACCAGCTGTCCGAGAATTCATAAAGAGAAACAGTAAGACGTCCCAAAGATATCGTAAAGACATCCCGCGGACATCCTGTCATTCTAATCAAGTGTCCCATGCACGTCCGCCAGCTGTCTCCAAATTCATAAAGAAAAACAATAAGACGTCCTAAAGATATCGTAAAGACATCCCGCAGATATTCGGACATTCTAATCGAGTGTCCCATATACGTCCGCCAGCTATCTCCCAGTCAGGAGAAAAATATGCAAATGCATCTTAAGGACATAATTGAGACGCCCGGCGGACGTGCGCAAACTGTCTCATAAGGACTTTCCAAAGTTCCGCTCTGTCTTTAGGACGTCTTAAAATGACACACCAGGACGTCCTGAAGACGTCCCCAATGTTTGTCCGCATTCTGTCCTGGACAGGTGCCAGGGGGCCATCAGGGTCCGTCATTGAATATACAAACAGCCAGGTATGTTGCTATTTTCACAATTTTCGTCCCTGAATGCAGGTGCTTAGGAGTGAAGGACCAAATCAAAGAATTCAAACTCTCATTACTATTCTCTTTGCCATAAGGCTTCGCATTTTGAATAGCAGGAAATGTTTTGCAGTCACCATCACCACCGTATATAGTATATTGAACTCCATATTTTTCTTCAGATCTTTTGAACATATCAGTGATAGCGTCAACTTCCATTTTTCCAGAACTTCCATTATGATTATGTGTGCAAACTTCTTCATGTTCCTCCATCCAATCATTGAATTCTCTTTGAGTTATTTTCCTTTCCTCCAGTTTTTTCAACTTCATTTTGCATCCTTGACAGAAACTCGACTTTATTTCGACATCTACGACTTTTCCGGTCAATTGGCCAATCAGTAATACGATCAGTAAACACGAGTAATAGAACGTATTACTAACACTCACTCCTAAGTCCATAAGTCCAACAAAAACATTGAGACCTTTCAAACCCATACCAAGAAGTCAAAACACAAAAAATATGCGACGGTTTATTTCATATTTTCTGTCTATCATTGGGCTAGAAGGTACGTCTTTTTCGCCACATTTACATTGTAGAACAATACGAAATCCCAAACCACGAATTGAACCTTTCGAAAAGTTTATGTCACCCTAACAATTTTTGCAAATCACTGCACTACTAATAGCGGAAAAAACTGTCATAAAGTTAATGAGATAATAATGACTATTGTCGGTGATATCGAATTTTCCAGCGGCTCTCTTCCTTAGTTTAGCTACTGATGCACTTACGAATGATGTATTACCTACTTTGGTATACTGATTGCCACGGAATTTACGTTTTTCGCACGCGAAGGATTATTCGAATTTGTCCGGGATCCTTTTCTGTCCATTTCTATTTCGAGAGTCGTGCTACAAAAATCAACTACCCCGTTCGAGGATGCGCAATGGACTGAAGTCTATTAGGAACACTCATTGCAAACTAATTTTAAAGACACAGGTATGAACACTATCGAATGTCAACAGTTTCCCAAAGGAGCACCTCCCGCCTATAATCTAATCTCGTACGTCTCTAGCAGCGCTGAAAGACTCTATTGTTGCGCTGCAACCATAGTGCACCTGCCTACCTGCATGCGCTCGGCGTTGGGGCCCTGTAGTTCTGTCAATATTTGGAATTTCTGAAAAATGCTTTCTCTACAATATTTTGAAATAGTGGTAGGATAGTAAAATGTAAAAAAAAATCTTTTTTTTGACCCCGGAAAAAGCGAAGGCCCCCTAATTCCTTCAATTTTTAGAATTTTTAACATTTTCCATTTCAAAAATTGCGAGTAAAAAAAAATCAGAAGTATTATTTTTGAAATAACTAAACAACCGCTGAGACGATTTCTTTTTCAATTCAGTCAGATATATTCTACACAAAGACGCGTCGATTGCATGAAAAACAATTCAAATTGCATCATTTCTTCAGGAGAAATAGCCAAATTTGCAAAAAAAACATCATTTTTGACGTTTTTTCACATTTTTTTTGTAAATAACTGAAGAACCGCAAGTCGATCGTCTTCAAAAACTAATCAGTTCTAAGTTACACGGAGATGCGTAGATTGAAAAAAAAATCAAATTGCATCGTTGGTTCAAGAGAAATCGTGTCCCAAAATTTTCGGGTCACTCACACACACACACACACACACACACACACACACACACACAGACATGTGTTCAAAAACATCATAGAAAGATTTCAGGAGTCATGAAACGTCGAGATATTATTAAATTTCCACTTTCGATTTTGGGGTCATTACAATAACTTTCTTCGGGTCGGGAAGTTAAAAACTAGTGATCGCGTTTTTTTCCATGAGATTGACGACGTATATAGGCAATTGGAGTTTTGCATCAAAATTTTTTATTGTTGAATATGAAAATTGAATGAAAAATATTAGATACGTATTTCGAAAAATAATGAAAAATAAACAAATCGTAGGCGATTGAAAACGTCGAACTTATGACGTCACGCCAAAACGCTCATATACGAACCATTGTGACGTCATAAGTTCAACGTTTCTTCAATTGGCCATAACTTCTTGATTTTTCATTCTCTTCCAAAATAAAAAAATACGTATCTAATATTTTTCATCCCATTTTCGTATTTCATCATTTTTTTTAATAATAAAATTTCATGCCACAACCCAATTATCCATTGAGATTTTTGTTTTCATTTCTTCTGGTGTTGTTTTATCAACTTGAGGGGGTCTGCGCTTTTCCGAGCGGCGACTGTGGATGCCGCTGATGATAGAGCTGCAGTTTCTTCAGTACCTACGAGCACGGCAGCTGATGGTGTCGCCAGGTCCTCATCACTTTTGGTGACAGTCTCGTCTGGTGAACTCGTTCGAGAGTAGGTGATCTCGAAGGCAAGGCATGGCATGCTGCATTCGTCTCAGTTGTCAGCTGAGCTTGTGTCTGCCTCTGGAGCGAGACTTCCCCTGCAGCCATCACTCATCAACATCAACGAGTTCCTCCCGCAAGATCTCCATAATCTCAGACGCGCTGTGAGGACTGCTGCCAAGGAGAGAGGCTTTCATACCTTCATTCGAAATGGAGCTGTCTTCATAAAGAAAAAGAAGGAGGATACTGCAATTAGAATCTCATCGATGGCCGAATTAAAAAACTTCGTGGCGGGCCCTCAATAAACTCTTCTGCTTCTGCTATATCTCCTGTCTCCAATCTTTCTTTTTCTCTCTCTTCTTTTTCTCAGTCTCCCGCTCCGCTTTCGCTCATTCCACATTGCTACCTTGAGCACAGTCAGGCGGCAGCCATGCTGGAATTGGAGGGTTTGCGTGTCTGTCATCTGAATGTGAACTCTCTCAGAGCTCACATTGAGAGAGTCAGGCTCTTCTTAGAATCTCATCCTCCATTTAAAGTTATCGCCATATCAGAGACTAAGCTTTGCCCTCTTATTGATGACGATTTCGTTTCGCTGGAAGGCTATAGGCTCTTCAGACGTGATCGCAATACGCGTGGTGGCGGGGTAGCTTTTTTCATCAATAACTGCTTCAGGGTCACAGTTCTTGCATCTTCCTCTCATGTGTGGACTAAAAGACCCGGTTTCCCCGAGTATCTGTTCTGTGAAATATCCTGTCATGGTGTCTTTCCAGTCTTTGTTGCAGTGGTATATAGGCCGCCACATGCTCCTTTCTTCCAGGGTAATGACTTCATCTCCTCTCTACAGGGGTTTCTTCAGGATTATAGCTCCAAGGTCATCCTTGGGGATTTCAATGCCGATCAGCTGCCTGTCAGTTATTGGTCAGTTGTCAGTTGTGTTGGTCTATGAGCAACCCTGATGCGGCTCTGGTGCATGCTTTGCTCCGATTTTTCTCTGAGCCTTGTGCCGCACGGAGCCACTCAGCATACTCATGGCTCAGACTTCTGGCTTGATCTGTGCCTGATTGATCATGATGACACGCTTCTATCTTACAGGAAGACAGAGGCCCCCTTTGTGGATGCTCACGATCTTATCACTGCAACAATACAGGCTGTCCTGCCTCGCCCATCTGTGAGTAAGGACTTCACTTACAGGGATTTTGCCGCTCTGGATCTTGATGTGCTATTGTCGCAGCTTGCTGGGAGTGAGTGGTCGGTGTTCGATGGCCTGTCGTCTCCAGACGAAATGACTGCGTGTCTGGGCGGTAATCTTGGCGTCGCTATGGACGCTGCTGTCCCGCTCAAGACGGTAAGGGAGTCCTCGAAGCGCAAGCCGTGGTTTACTGATGAGATCATTGCTCTTGTAGTGGAGAGAGATCGCCTTTACCGTGTATACAAACGTACTCACTCTCGTCAGGCACTCTTAATCTATCGCACGGCTCGTGATCATGCTCATCGTGAGGTTGAGGTGGCACGTCAACTTTTCTTCCAGCGCAGGCTGGAGCCTCCCTCTGACCCTTCGCTTATCTGGAAGGAGCTCAGAAGGCTTGGTGTGGTGACTGGGGATGACTCAAGACCCGATTTCGATCCTGATGTCTTGAATCGTTGCTTTACTGGAGTGTCCTTTGACGAGACAGAGCTTTCGCTGGATGGGTTCTTGAACTCGGCTGAGCTAGGGGCCATTCCTCCTGCCGTGGGTTTCTCCTTCAGGCCAGTCACTGCTGATGGGGTACAGAAGGCTGTTCGGCATTTCTCTACCGAAGCTAAAGGGACTGATGGTGTTCCCCGGTCGGTGGTTGTGGCTGCCCTGCCGATTCTAACACCTCATCTAGTGATGCTCTTTAATATCTCTTTCGCTCGGTCCTGCTTTCCCTCTGAGTGCAGGAGGTCCCTTATTATTGCGCTTGGCAAGGTGAAAAACCCTGTGTCACCTAATGACTTCAGGCTGATTGCCTTGCTCTGTTTCCTCTCCAAGGTGCTGGAGAAACTTGCTTCCCAGCAAATCTCCGGCTTTCTTGCTGAGCGCTTCATTCTGGACTCCCTGCAGACGGGCTTTCGTCCATTCAATGGGACGCAGACGGCGCTATGGAAACTGACAGACGACATTAGGACAGGTATTGACAGACGGCAGCTGACGATGCTACTGTTATTCGACTTCAGCAAGGCGTTCGTTTCCGTTTGTCATGTGTTGCTGCTGCGGATGCTGTTAGGCTATGGCTCCTCAGCTTCTTCAGTGAGGTGGCTTGCATCATATCTGGGTGGTCATTCGCAGGCTACACTAGGCGGGGCGAGTGACTGTTCATCTTTCTGTCATCTGAACAGAGGAGTTCCGCAGGGATCTGTTCTAGGTCCTCTGCTATTCCTCCTGTTCATTAATGATGTCGGTGTAAACGTGGGGCCTGGAGTTCGGCATCTGATATATGCTGATGATCTCCAGATTTACCTGACCTTTCCACGTGAGGAGTTAGAGGATGCCACTCGTCGCATGAGCAACGCTGCTAACCGTGCGATAGACTGGGCTAATGCAAATCGGCTGAAGCTGAATGTGGCGAAGACGAAAGCCATCATTTTTGGCTTTAATGTCTTCGTTAACGATGTCTATTCCTTGCCTGATTTGTCTGTCAGCGTTGGTGGCTCTGCAATTCCATTTGATACTTCCGTACGCAGCCTGCGAGTGGTTCTGGATAACAAGCTCTCTTGGAAGGGACATGTGGCGTATGTGACGCAGAGGGTTCACTCTGTCATGTACCGCCTCCGGTTCTTTAGAGCCAGTACCACTCTGGGTCTGCGTAAACACCTCATTCAGGCTTTGGTGTTCCCCCTGATCGACTACTGCTGTCTTGTATATGATGGTCTGTCTGGTGTACTTGCTACTGTGATTCAGCGTCTCATCAATATGACGGTTAGATACATCTTTGGGGCAAGGAGAGACGAGCACATCACTCCCTATCGTCTGCGGCTTAGGTGGACGACGTGTGAGGTGCGCAGAACGTACTTCCTCGCGTGCCTCACTTACAAGATCCTCCGCTTTGGTCAGCCGGTGTATCTGGCTGACTTTTTTGTGGCCAGTCGGGCCGTGCGGCCGGTGAGGGGTGAGGTGACTCCCCTTATGATCAAGCCTTTCAGGACTGAAGCCATGCGATCCTCCTTCCACGTATCTGCGGCTTATTTGGGGAACTCAATTCCCTCTGCAGTGCGGGACCTTCCCACACTGTCGTCCTTCCGACAGACGTTTCACTTTACCTCAGGCTCCTCCATTATTTACAAAAAATATTTGTTGACAAGATCGCCACGAAAGAAAAACTAGCAGGAAAACACTCGCTCAGGACGAGCGTTACTCTCTATGTAATGAATTCCAGGATTAAAAATATGTCATTACGAAAATGTGTGAAATCTCCCCAAATACAAAAATATATTTTTACAAACAAAACTCGCCAAGAACGGGTCCGAGCGTTCTGGAAACAAAAAGTGATGAAATCATGAAAAGTGCCAAGCACTGAATACATAGAGGTTCTAAATACAACTAAAGAAAACCGATGAAAAAAATTGAAATTATACAAAGAAGATGATAAAAACGAGTTAATCGAAATTCTAAGTCAACCAACTTGCCGTTCAATTTTTCAGGAGCTTGAATTGCATGCCAAATTGGTTGACTTGGAATTTTATGACAAAAAAATATGGGCGGTTACAAAATTTTAGGATTTACTAAGAAGAGGAAAAAAATCAAAAACTAAAAAAATCATTTTCTCATCGAGATACGCGGTAGTCGTATCGGACAAGAAAAATTTTGACTCCATAACATCAGGCCGAGCGCATCGCGTATCTACATACACTGGAAAGGGCACTGAGCCGCCCGAAGTGAGCCGAGAGAGAGGGTCGATTTTGGGGGCCACCTGTTTCTGTCGTACCGTCTGCTCCAAAAGTATTCTCTTAGCGTGGGCAACGTATAGAATTTAGCATTGGCATTCAGTTCTTTTTGGTTGCATATGTCATTTTTGGTAAAATTCAAACTCATAATATGTGACAGTTGAAAATTTTACTCTTTTCTAATGTATACTGATACATGGGTTATTTACAATTCTATTACGAGTAAATTGACATGGAAAAAATACATAAGAATATAGAATTCAATAGATTCTTCATTCAATTAATCTGACGGGAAATCGAAATCCTCTGAGTCAGTACCGTTCTCAGTATTCGGAATTTTAAATTTCGGTATGTCCAATATAATTCCTGAAATAGAAAGTTGATATTTCAATGATATAAACTTTTATTAACTTCCCGACCCGAAGAGAGGAAGTTATTGTAATGACCCCGAAAATAAAATGTTGAATTTCGATGATTTGTCTACGTTTTGTGACCTCTAGAGTCATCCTGAAACGTTTCTGGAGAAATGTATGTGCGTGTGTGTGTGTGTGTATGTGTATGTGCGTGCGTAGCACCGTATGTGAGTGAAATTTTGTCCGATTTCTCCGGAGCGAACGAACCGATTCAACTTTTTTTTTTTCATCGATGCGTCTTTATGTACCTTAGAACTGATTAGATTATGGAAATGGTTGCCTCAGCGGTTTTCCAGTTATCTGCATAAAACATGAGAAAATGTCAAACAACGTTACTTTTACTGAAATTCGACGATTTCATCTGAAATAATGATGGAATTTGAAGCAATGTCGTGTAATCGCTGCGTCATCATGTATCTTGAGTGTAATTGGATTTCAAGCGAAGTCTCCTCAGCGGTTTTTTAGTTATTTCAATAAAACTTTCGAATTTTCTTCTATGGGTATTTCCTCGGAAAAATTTGAGAAAAAGATTGAATAAATACATAATAAAAAAATTAATGAAAGAAAAAACAAATAGTCGAGAAGTTATTGGTGCGACCCGTAATGGGTCACACCCAATTCCACCAACCCCTACTGGTCATACCCGAAAGAGGGAGCGCGTGAAGCGCGCGACCGGGCCTGATTTTTTCAAGAGGAATTAATTGATCAAATTTAAGAACATGCCTCGAGTTTCTAATCTCTATTTGATCTTTCCAATACTGTGATGAAAAAGTAGGACGTTCCAATATTTATTTATCCTTCTAGCATCAAAACAATCTTTAACACATCAATTCACTGCGCATAACTCAACCTAAGCTTCTCAACTCGCTTGTACCGTGTGTCGTTTGGCACGTTACGCGTATGCGCACCGTCGAGAGAGTGAGAGAGGTGGCCCCCAAAATCTACTGCTCTCTGGCTCGTTTTCCGTTTACGAGTCTGGCATTGGCAGTGCCCTTTTCAGTATATAGTATAATTCAGTGATAAATACCCGGCACCGCTTGGCCTGAGATGCTGGACAGTCAGAGTCAAAAATTTTCCTTGGCCGATACTGCCGCGTATCTCGATTAAAATTTTGTATTTTTTATGTGATATCGCCCCATTATGATCCAAAAAGCCCAAAAATGCAATTTTTAGGCCGTGTCCATAGGTATGTGTGTATGTATGCATGTGTGTGGTGAAGTTTCTCTTCAATTGTTCACTAATGAATGGATAGAATTGAACCTTTTTGTTTCAAATGTGGGTATTATTGAGCCCTATCGATCGCCATTAATTAAAAGTTGATTCATCGATTACTTTTTTCAATTTTTGAATTTCTTCGAAAATCGGTTGTCCCACGATAACTGAAAAAGAAATGTTCTGAATTGATTAAATGATGGCTTGAAGAATTTGTTTGAATATTCTTTTGACCAAGTTAGAAGATGAAGGCGATAGCAATAATCGTTATTTTGATCAATTCGAAAATTTTAAAAAATTTGTATTTATTTAAATTCTGAATTCCGGGGATATCCCCGAATATCATGATTCAATTAAATTCAATCATAGTTTAAAATATTTCTTTTATGCCATTAAGTCGTAGTTAAAACATTATTAGGATAGCTATATTGGTTGATTTGATCTTTATGATTGTTAAAAATTTTGAATTTTTCATGAATTTCCCTGAAAGTGAGCTTTTTAATGGATTCTTCAAATGTAATGTTTCAAATTCATTCAAGTATGTGTAAATAAAATATTCCTATTAACATTTCATCGGTGGGCTGAAGCGAGAAGTCGAACTGTAACAGTATATTGTGCTACAAGTACGTAAAGTTCCACGTTTTTACACGCACGTGTAACGAATACTTTTGTTTGTGGTATCTGCTGAGTTCACTGTTTGGGACGATACTAGGGATAATGGGGTTGTTTTTATACACAAGTGCGTAAAGTTCAAGAGCGTGCATGAAATGAATTTCGAGTGAACTTCGAATTTCGAGTACGTAAGGTTCGCTTGACGTACTCGAAATTCACTTTACGTATGCTCGTGAACTTCAATAGAAGGAAATGATATGCAAAATATCCATTCGAAAGCATATTGCTAATTTATTAGCAAAAATAACCATACGATATACAATACAAGAGCAATTTCCCCACTGCCTTCTTTCCAAATGAAAGTGTGAAAATGCGATCGACCTCACAACCTTTCTCACCGTCATTGAAATATACTGGGGGCCTATTCTCGGAATATTTCCATGCACGGGAGTGGCTTCGTAGACGAATTGCGTATAGGAATCATATAGGCGTTCCGTCAACGGAGTCGATTCCGCGCACGGAAATATTTCGAGAATAGGCCCCCTGGGGGCCTATTCTCAAGTTTGAAGTGAACAGATTTGTGAATGTAAGTCGCTCTGTTCACGCATTTCGGTGGGGAACCAAATTTTCCGTGAACGAATACTAGATCCACATGTGAATTAACTTCGTTCACGGAGGTCATTTTCAATTCGCACACTGATTCCCAAGTCGCGAAATTTACATGTCGTGAGATTCTGCACGTGGAGAAAGAATTTTTAATAAAATTTTGAAACAATAAGTCCATATCTCCGCAAATTATCCATTTTTCAACTTACTGTAAAGCAAAGAAATGATCTATAATAAATAAATTTAAACAATTGTTTAATATTTCGTTCCCCAGAACAGGTTAACTGCATCCTCATACGAGTATCCTCACGTGTGAATCGAAAACGACATCCAACGGAATTGATTCACATGTGGATCTAGGATTCGTTTACGAAAATTTTCGTTCCCCATCGCGAAACGTGAACGGAGCCACTGCCGTTCACAAATCCGTTCACCTCAAACTCGAGAATGTAATGAGGAAAAATAAAAGTACAACGAAATTTCATCGCGTTAGTGATGCTGATCACTATTTTTCCCCGCATCATATTTTCCAAAGAGTTCATTTAATTCTTTTCGAATTTTGTTCAGAGTTCTGAATATCCTGTCTCCTGGGCTACTGGAAAAAAATTATATATGATTTAATTTCAGAGCATGTCAATGACCCCGGATATTGAAAGAAGGTGATTGCTTCGAGTGACTTAATTGATGATTTTCTCGAAGAGTTCCATAAAACCCGGCATTTTTGATGATGAAATAAATATACATGGCACCAATAGTACTTGGCTTTGATTGTGAGTCACGGAAAGGAGATCACGGCGAATGTCGGTTGACCAGACGGAAATGCGTTGACTATTCAATTTTTTGTTTCGAGTTCCATATAGCCCGCCTTTAATGGTAATGAGGAAAAATGAAAGTACAACGAGACTTCATCGCGTTAGTGATGCTGATCAGTGTTTTCCCCGAATCAAATTTTCCAGAGTTCATTTAATTATTTTCAAATTTTGTTTAAAGTTCTGAATAGCCCGTCACCTGGACTCCTGGAAGAAAATTATACTTCATCCAATTGCAGGGTGGGTCAATGACCTCAGATAGTGAGGGTATGTGATGGCTTCGAGTAACTCAATTAATGATTTTCTCAAGGAGTTCCATATAACCCAGCATTTTTGTCATGAAATAAATACACATGGCACCAACAGTACTTGGCATTGATCGTGAGTCCTCCAGATGGATATGCGTTGATTATTCAATTTTTTGTTTTGAGTTCCATATAGCCCGCCTTGAATTGTAATGCGGAAAAATGAACGTACAACGGGATTTTATCGCGATAGTGATGCTGGTCACTATGATTCCCCGATTCAAATTTTTTAAAGAGCGCAGTGAATCATATTTGAATTTTGTTTAGAGCACTGAATAGTCCATCTCCTGGGCTACTGGAAAAAAAATTATGTATCATTTAATTTCAGAGTAGGTCAAGGACCCCGGATATAGAGAGCATGTGATTGCTTCGAGTGACTCAATTGATGATTTTGTCGAAGAGTTCTATATAACCCGGCTTTTTTTACGATGAAATGAATATACATGGCACCAATAGCACTTCGCATTGATCGTTAGTCCTGGA